AGACCAGGAAAAGCACCTGGATCCTGGCTCCTGCCATCGGATCAGCGCGGTGCGCCGGCTGCAGCGGTGGCCATTGGAGGGTGAACCAACGGCAAAAGAAGACCTTTCTCTCTGTCTCTCTCTCTCACTGTCCACTCTGCCTGTCAAAAATAAAAAAAAAATAAAAAAAAAAAAAAGAAAAGGAGCAACTGGGACAGAATCCGGCACCCCGATCGGGACTAGAACCCGATGTGCTGGTGCCGCAGGCGGAGGATTAGCCTATTGAGCCGCGGCGCCGGCCCCTATGTACACATTTTAAAAGTCATTTGATTGGGGCCGGCACTGTGGCATAGCGGGTAAAGTCACTGCCTGCAGTGCCGGCATCCTACATGGGCACTGGTTCAAGTCCTAGCTGCTCTGCTTCCAATCCAGCTCTTTGCTGTGGCCTGGGAAAGCAATAGAAGATGGCCCAAGTCCTTGGGCCCCTGCACCTAGTAGGAGACCCGGAGGAAGCTCCTGGCTCCTGGCTTCAGGTTGGCACAGCTCTGGCCATTGCAGCCATTTGGGGAGTGAACCAGTGGATGGAAGACCTCTCTCTCTCTGCCTCTGCCTCTCTGTAACTCTGTCTTACAAATAAAAAAATAAAATAAAATAAAATAATAAAAAGTCACTTGATAACTAGGAGACACAGGGCTCTTTACCCCTAAACATTTCATATTGTGTATTTCTTAAGAACAAGGACATTCTCTGAAATAACCACAGAATAATTATCAACATCAGGACATTTAAAATTAATACTCTTCATTCACATTTTTAAAATCACTCCACTAGTGTTCCTTATAATGATTTTTTTCTTCATCCAATATGCAATCCAGTGTCATGTTTTTATGTAAGGATTTCTTTATTTGAAAGACAGAATGACAGAGAAGGATAGAGACAGGGAGAGATCTTCCATGTGTGGCTGGTTTCATTCCTCAAATGATAACAGCCAGGGCTAGGCCTGGCTGAAGCCAGGAGCCAGAAATTCCATCCAGCTCTCCCACATGGATGGCAGGGACTCAAATACTTGAGCCATCATCTGCTGTTCCCCAAAAGTCACATTAGCGGGAGCTGGATCACAAATGGCGTAGCTACGATTGAAACTGGCACTCCAATGTAGGATGCATGCCCATCTCCAGGATCACATTTTACATCTGACATTTCCTTTTAGTCTCTTTTAAATCTTACCCTTCATTTTTCTTGACCTTCGCACTTTTTGAAGAGTATTAGGTCAGTTTATTTATTTATTTTTAGAATTTTTTTATTTATTATTATTATTTTTTTTTTTACAGGCAGAGTGGACAGTGAGAGAGAGACAGAGAGAAAGGTCTTCCTTTTGCCGTTGGTTCACCCTCCAATGGCCGCCGCGGCCGGCGCACCGCGCTGATCCAATGGCAAGAGCCAGGTGCTTCTCCTGGTCTCCCATGGGGTGCAGGGCCCAAGCACCTGGGCCATCCTCCACTGCATTCCCTGGCCACAGCAGAGAGCTGGCCTTGGGAGAGGGGCAACCGGGACAGAATCCGGCGCCCCGACCGGGACTAGAACCCGGTGTGCCGGTGCTTCAAGGCGGAGGATTAGCCTAGTGATCCGCGGTGCCGGCCAGGTCAGTTATTTTTTAGAATGACCTTCAGTTTAGGTTTAATTGATGGTTCCTCATGATTAGGTTCAGTGTGTGCATTTTTGGAAAGAATACCATAAAAGAAATGTTGTGTCTTTTTGAGTGCATACTATCAGGAGACACATGATTTAGTTTCTCCCAATATTGGTGGTATTCACTTTGTTCCTTGGCTATGGTGTGTTTATTAGGTTTCTTCACTGTAGTTACTATTTTCCCCATTGTTATAGTAATATGTAGGAATACTTTGAGACCATGTTTCTCATTAAATACTTTGTTTCATCCACCAGTTTTAGCATTCACTACTTTTTCTTTTTTTTAAAGATTTATTTATTTGAAAGGTAAAGTTACAGAAAGAGAGAGGAAAGAAAGACCTTCCATCTGCTTGTTCATACCCAAATAGCCGCAACAGCTGGGGCTGGGCCAGGCCTAAGCCAGAAGCTTCACCCAGGTCTCCCACATGGGTTCAGGGGCCCCAGCACTGGGATCATCTTCCGCTGCTTTCCCAGACTCATTTGCAGGGGGCTGGATTGGAGGTGGAGCAGCAAGGATTCAAACCGGCACCCATACGGGATGCTGGCATTACAGGGACAGCTCAACCCGTTACATCAAAATGCTGGCCTCCATTCACTACATTTTCTAACTCCATCATTCTTTCCCTATATGGTCATCTCTCAGTATCCATGGAGAATTGATTCTAGGACCTCCCAGAGATGCTCAAGTCCATGTACATCCTTTCACATACTTTAAATCATCTCAAGATCACTACAATGTAATCACTATATAAATGGTTGTCACACTACTGTTTAGGAAATGATGCCAAGTAAGTTTGTACACACTCTTGTGTAGGCACAGTTATTTTTCTGACTATTTTCAATCTGCAGTTAGCTGAATCCACAGATACAGAACTCACAGATACAGAACCCATGGATACAGAAGACTGACTGTATTTTAGCTGACATGCTACTTTAAGGAAAAACTTTCCCTTTTCCTCCATATATTATTATTACTATAACTCAAATTTTTTATTTTGATGAGTTAAAAATCTGTTACTATCCTGAGGTCAGCACTGTGGCACAGCAGGTGAAGCCACCACCTACAATGCCAGCATATCACTTGGATGCCAGTTCCTGTCCTGGTTGTTCCACTTACGATCCAACTTCCCGGTAATGTCCTGGAAAAAAGCAGTGGAAAATGATCCAAGTGTCCGGGCCCCTGCTACCTACACGGGAAACCCATTTGAAGCTCCTGGCTCCTAGTTTTGGCTTGGCCCATCCCTGGCCATTCTAGCCATGTGGAAAGTGAACTGTCAGACGGAGGATGTCTCTAACTTTCAAATAAACAAATAAATATTTTTTAAAAAATCTATTACTATCCTATATTTCAATGCTAAAATTATCTCAGAGTGGACTGTAGGAGTCTCTTCAAATTAGCTCTTGTACTCATTTTGCACTCCCGTATTTTCTGATGCAGTAAGGTGTTTCCCACTGTGTGTTTTTCTACTGTAATCATTCACCTTTTTCTTCAACTGATTTTTGAATATTGATTTCTTCCTGTGACTGCTACTTCATTTTGTAGAATTCTTTCAGTTGTTTGTAGATTCCTTTGGATTTTCTAAGTAAATAATCATATTATCTGTAAATAGAAATGGTTTTTACTTTTTTCTTTCTCTAATCCTTCTACTTTTTACTTCTTCTGCTTGCCTTATTATATTGGCTAGGACCTCTAGATCAGTATCACAGAGCAGTGGTTAGAGCGGCTGTCCTTTACTTGTTACTGATCTTAAGTGAAAACATTAAATATTTCACCATTAAATTTGATGTTACCAGGCAGGCATTGTGGCTTAATGAGTTTAGTCGGCATTGGGATGCCTGTATGCCATGTCGGAGTGCCAGCTGGAGTCCTGGCTACTCCACTTCTGAGCCAGCTCCTTGCTAATGCTTCTGAGAAGCAGCAGATGATGGCTCGAGGACTTGTGTCCCTGTTTCCCATGTGGGAAATCCAGATGGGATTCCTGGCTGCTGGCTTTGGCCTGACCTAGCCCTGGCTGTTGTGGCCATTTGGGGAGTGAACCAACAGATGGAAGATCTCTCTTTTTCCCTGTCTCTCCCTCTCTCTGTCTTTCAAATAAAGAAAAAAATCTCCAAACAAATTTTTTTGATGTTAGCCAAAGCTTCATAAATGTTCTTTATCAGTCAATCCACATATTTTGAATTCTGGAACCTCAAACAGGAAAACCTATGCCCTCCTCACCTTCCCACTCCCAATTAAAACAAGTATGACTTTCATACTGTGAAAAGAATTTCACGATAAAGCTAATAAACTAGAATCACTCACATCACTAACTTTCGTATATATACATAAACACTTTAAGTGGCTGCAAAATATCCATGTTTTATGGATAAACCATTACTTTTTTACTTTGTGATTTCTATATGAGTAGATGGGAGTAGAGAATAATATAATGTTATACAAAGTTACAAACATACATCTAAGTACTTCAAAAACCTCAGAGCTTCCTTCACCCTGTTCCCAAAGAGAACAAATGCTTTTCAGAAACCCTTAGCAACTGAAATTAGTATTAGCCCAACTTCCTGATATCAAGGGTATATATTCTAAGGAGCAAAGCAATTCAAGTATACTTTGATATGTAATACATTCTTTTTCTTACCATTCAGAACTGATCTTAGTTTATCCCTGTCTTCATCTGAAGTAGACACGTTACAAGTGTGAGTTTATGTAGGCCTGCTCCAGTAGTCTGATAGTGTGACCAGTAGTGTGGTTACTGGTCACGCACAGAACCCCAGTAACTCCAGTTTTGCCACTACTAGAGAGATCTTTGCAAATGAAGGAAATGAGTAGTGCAGTAGAAATCTTGGTAGCTCCAGTGAAAAAAAGAAAAAGAAAAAAACTACAGTGATGGAGTTCAAGTGAAAGGAGTCTGATTAGAGTAAGCACAACAAAATACAGGACTATCGTCACAAGCTAGCAGGCATATAAGGGTCTTGGTGGTAATTTATTTTCCCCTTTCTCGTTTACTGTAGGCTATCACTCCAAAACTTTTCTTGATAAGAAATTACTTTGATTCCTCTAGTTTTATGGTAGCTATTGGGGAGGGACTGCTAAATCAAAGAAATCACTAGTGGAACAGGGAGTTTAGGTAGCAACAGCACTTAAAGTCTTTCCAAGTAAGCAGCAAGGAAGTAAGCTACATCTCAAGGCCTCAGTCAGTTTAAGACATATTAACTGAGCACCAGCCATGGGTATGGTTCAGTAATGGGGCCCACGGTACTTGGCTGCCGTGCTTCCTAAAAGCAGTGGTGGACAGCTTATGGGATATAACAAGAAGACTGGTTGCAACACTAACCCAAAGGTAGTTGACTTCATTATAGCTTAAAATTGTAGCACTTTGGGCTTCAGATGATTCCACTTCTTCCTCAGTTCAGATCTGGTGCTATCAGAAGCAAAGATGTAGTTGATGGATTCATACGATAAATCCCACACCTGAGACTGGGTCAAATTAAATGTTTCAGCTGCCAGCCGGTACTCTTGAGAAAGGTATGTTGCAAAAACACCTTTATCATCGGTCTGCCAATATAAACAAGAACATTTTTAAATGAACAAAGAATTGCTTTAAAAAAAAAACAACTTTTTTGTTGAGAGTCTATTTTCATATTTACCATATGCTTCTTTTAAGAGTTTTAAAAAAGGCCTATAAATGCACCTATGCATACCTGTAATAAAACAGGTTTGTTGATACTTGGAAAAAAATTACAGAGGAGTGTTTAAACCCTGGCTGTATATTGAATCACTGGGAGAGCTTTTAAAACCTGTCTATGGCCAGAACTCATCCCAGATCAAATTAGCAGAATTTCATGGGATAGGTGTTGGGCATCAGCTTTGTTTTGTTTCTTTTAAGTTCCCCCAGGTACCAATCAGGACTTGTCATGGAGCCAGACCAGAGTCACCCCAACCCTTTACAGCTTCCCATGCACCAGTCCCTCTAACTCCTCAGACATGCAAGGCAGTCATCTAGGTTGTGCTCATTGGAATTAATGAAACTCAGCTATTACATTACACAAATGAAACTCGGAAAATACTTTACACAAAACACCTTACACAGATCACAGAAGGATGTGCAATGCTGTACCAGAATCCGAAATGATGCTGGTCATAAGATGGAACTGTCTGACTTTTGATGTTTGAGGTCAAACACAGTTCTAGATCAAAGGAGAAAGAATGCTTGTAGTAAAAGAAGGTACATGAATTCATCCTGTGTTTACCAACTAGACAATGAAAAATCTTTACAAATTATGCTAATTTGCAATAGTTTATTGTTCTAAAAAACTGGCCTTTCCTTATGTGTGATGCGAAAAGTTATAATTCAATTAGTGTATTTATGCAGCAAATATGTGCTGCAATTATGACATTAATGTAGCAGGCAAGGAATTAATATTCCTTTCAATGTTATGTGATTCTTTCTTGCATGAAAGAGAGAGGCAAGAGGCATGGTATAAACCAGTCGTGATAAACAAGGCAAGGTTTTTTGGAAGGGTTGTTGCAATTCTTGCTACTCTTACAAAGGCCAAAACATAGGTAAGAAAACTTAGCTCTTAGTGCTGAGCTAAGAGTAGGCATGGGGGGCCAGCACTGTGGCGCAGTGGGTTAACGCCTTGGTCTGAAGCGCCAGCATCCCATATGGGTGCCGGTTCTAGTCCCAGCTGCTCCACTTCCCGTCCAGCTCTCTGCTAATGGCCTAGGAAAGCAGTAGAAGATGGCCCAAGTCCTTGGGCCCCTGCACCTGTGTGGGAGACCTGGAAGAAGTTCCTGGCTCCTGGCTTTGGATCAGTGCAGTTCCGGCCATTGCAGCCAATTAGAGAGTGAACCATCGGATGGAAGACCTCTCTCTCTTTCTCTGCCTCTCCTCTCTCTGTAACTCTGACTCTCAAGTAAAAAATAAATAAATCTTAAAAAAAAAAAACAAACACAAATTCTTGCTTTGAAGCACTGTACTTGCCTTCCAGAGTAAAATACTTCACTGATGTCACTGATGGCATCTGTTCCCTTGCATTAGGCAGCCTCAACACAAAACCCAACCTGCCCCTCTCTCTGCTAGCAGCAGAGCTGGGCCAATCCAGCAAGTAAAACTATGCAAATGGCTTCCATTTTCTCTATTTTTGTGCATGTTTAAAAATTTCAGCAAAAAGAAAAAAATTATCAATTGCTGACAATTCTAAATAGTTAAAACACCCACACATTTTCTAAATGGTAAATCTATCAAATTGATTATTCCATAAAATGGTTTACAGCCAACTGCTTCTTTCCATCTGCTGAAAGGCCTTCCCTGACCATCCAAATGAAAGTGGTCAGCTGATCACTAAATTTCAGCTGCTTAGTTTTCTTCACAGAACTTAACAGTGACATTTTCTTGCCTATTTGTTTACTGTCTTTCCTTTGCTAAAAAATATGAATTCCTTGAAAAAGAACCCTTGTATCTACTTTGCTTACAGCTATATTCCCAGCAATTACAGCAGTGACTGCAACAAAATAGATACTTCATAAGCAAGTTAACAATCAAGTGTGCAATGGCTGATATGTAAAATATACTTGGAATTTTCCATAATTCTTATTTTTTAAATAAGTGTTATAGTTTCATAACACATGTTAATTTTGTTAAAATCATTTGAAAATTCATATGTTTGAAAAATTAGTGAGTTCTAAGCACTAGAGAATGATGCAATGAACAAGACAAGTGCCTCATGCTCACAGAGTTTATATTCTAAAGGGAATTGAAACTGTAACTTAAACAAAGCTCAGAAAGTACACATATTGTGCATCTTTTAATTTCTAAATGATGTTTGCATTTTTAGAACAGTCCTTCACCTATAGGTTGCAACCTAGAAACTGGGGGAAGAAGGGCCGGAGAGGAGCCTGAAACCCTAAACCTTACCCAGAGGTATCCGATGTTGCCTCACAAAGTCCACCAGATCCAGGGATCCTCCCTCAGAAGAGTTGAGGAAAGTTCCATGCCCAATTCTGTCAGGAAGTAGGTCCAGGAGCATTTGGGTTTCTTTTCCTTGGTTTGGGATCTTAAGAAAAGTGGAGAGAGGAGGGCCAAGGTTCAGTGGTTCTTAAGGGATTTTTTTTTTCCCTATTCTGGGTATTCTGCCCCAGTATTAACGCAAACATTTGGGAAGCTGAATTACTTTTACCTTCCCAGCTCTCTTCTTTGCCTTTTATCTTCTCATTCATACCTCAATATTTTCCTAGATTCATTTCAATGATAATATACACTTAATAAGGCCTAGTTGTGCCTTTTTACATAAATTCTTTAAGGAAGGCCTCACAAAAACCTTATAAAATGTTAAGATAAATTAAAACAAAAATTAAATAATTTTCAAAAAATAAAACTCTGTAACTCTATACATGTGTGTTATATGTTATATATGAATATATGTGTTTATATATATTAATAAAAGGTCCAGAAAAATAGAAACACAAAACTGTTAACAATTTTAACTTTGGAAAGCAAATTGAAACGGGAACTGAAATAGGAAGGGGACTTTTCATTTTTAATTTTTTTCCTTCTACCTTGTACTCCCCACACTGGTATTTTCTTCAGGTGCATATAAGTTACTTCTCCTGGGCCCCTTTGCCTCTGGATGACTGAGTGTGGACAGCAGTCATGTTCCTGTTACCAGGCTTGGCCCAGAAAGCTTCCCACGTGGTCCTTATGCCCTCTCCACCCTCGCTCGACAGCATTCCAGGCTCTAGGCCAGACATTCTGATTCATTTTGTGCCATGAAGGCCTTAATTCCTTCTCAGAATAATGCTTTTTATTTTTTTCAAGTAAAATATTTATTTTGGAATAATTTTACATTTAAAGAGAAATTGCAAAAATAGTACAGGGAGGATTTCCTCATATTCCTCACTCAGTTTTAGTTCCCCCTAAAGTTTTCACCTTACATTACTGTGGTACATCTGCCAAAACTAAGAGACCAATACTCATGCATAATTCTTTTTTTTTAAAGAAAGGGTTTCTTTCTTTTTTTAAATATTTATTTATTTATTTGCAAGGCAGAGTTACAGAGAAGCAGAGGCAGAGGACAGAGAGCTGGATTGGAAGTGGAGCAGCCGGGACTTGAACTGGCACACATAATGGATGCCGGCACTGCAGGCAGCAGCTTTACCTGCTACACCACAGCGCTGGTCCCCGGGTACGTACAACTTTTATAGTTACAAATATAAAGCTGGGACTGGTGTTGTGGCACAGAAGTTAAGCTGATGCCTGTGACGTTGACATCTCATACGAGCACTGGTTTGACTCCTGGCTGCCCACTTCTGATCCAGCTCCATGAAAATGCACCCAGGAAAACAATGGAAGATGCCCCAAGTATCTGGCTCCTGCCACAGACATGGGAGATCTGGATGGAGTTCCAGGCTCCTGGCTTTAGCCTGCACCAGACCCAGCCATTGTGGCCATTTGGAGAATGAACCAATAAAGCCGCTTTTTTAAGTTGTCTATGGTGATACAGCTAATGAATGGTAGATTTAAGGGTGGATCCTGTCTAACTCCAGGGCCCACACACTTTTCATACATAGTATGCCTAGGTTTAATTTTGACCAGGCTAATCACATATATATCACAGTCACCATAAAAATGTCTAGCTTTGCTTTTTATTTCCTACATAGCCCAAAAGGCAAATAATCAGAACATTTTGACATGAAAAGTTTTACAGCCAATGGCTCCAATAAGAGCAACAGTAACTAAAGAGCAGGTTCTGATGTTATGCATAGGCCAGAGATACTGGGTCCCAGTAACCCATGGTGTTCCATTGTATTTATCAATGGCTTCTGCTGGGCCTCAGTTCAGTTACAGGGAGTCCTGTGAGTGAAAAATGGATTCTAGATTTTAAGTTCTGCCACCAGATTACTGACTCTCTGATGTCTAGAAATGAGAGACAGAAGTACCAGGAGAAGTTCTATTTTTTTCTTTAATTTCTGAATTATGATGTTATTCAATCTTTATACATTCCTTAAGTATTATTTCCTGCATTTAAGAAACAAATAGGGGCCTCCACCTGTGGCACCGGCATCCCATATGGGCACTGGTTTTAGTCCTGGCTGCTCCTCTTCTGATCCAGCTCTCTGCTATGGCCTGGGAAAGCAGTAGAAGATGGCCCAAGTGCTTGGGCCCCTGCACCACATGGGAAACCAGGAAGAAGCACCTGGCTCCTGGCTTCAGATCAGCGCAGCTCCAGCCATTGCAAGCCATTTGGGGAGTGAACCAATGGAAGGAAGACCTTTCTCTCTGTCTTTCCCTCTCACTGTCTGTAACTCAACCTCTCAAATAAATAAATAAAAAAATCTTAAAAAAAAAAAGAAAACCATTATGTTAAAAAAAAAAAAAAAGAAACAAGTAGGTGATGAGATAGAAAATAAATCCATAGCAAAATGGGGGCAGGTGGGAAGTGCAGATTCCTTTGTTTGGTTCACAGGGACATGTTTTAAGAAAATGATGCGCCAGTGCCGTGGCTCACTTGGCTAATCCTCCACCTGTGGCGTCGGCACCCAGGGTTCTAGTCCCAGTTGGGGTGCCGGATTCTGTCCCAGTTGCTCCTCTTCCAGGCCAGCTCTCTGCTGTGGCCCGGGAAGGCAGTGGAGGATGGCCCAGATCCTTGGGCCCTGCACCCGCATGGGAGACCAGGAGGAAGCACCTGGCTCCTGGCTTCGGATCGGCGCTGCACCGGCCACAGTGCACCGGCCATAGTGGCCATTTGGGGGGTAAACCAATGGAAAAAAGAAAAGTTGCAGCCATTTGGAGAGTAAAACAGCAGATGGAAGACCTTTCTCTCTGTCTTTCCCTCTCTCTGTCCGTGACTCTACCTCTCAAATAAATAAATAAAATCTTAAAAAAAAAGACTAATGGCCGGTGCTGTGGCTCAATAGGCTAATCCTCCACATAGTGGCGCCGGCACACCGCATTCTAGTCCTGATCGGGGCGCCGGATTCTGTCCCGGTTGCCCCTCTTCCAGGCCAGCTCTCTGCTGTGGCCCAGGAAGGCAGTGGAGGATGGCCCAAGTGCTTGGGCCCTGTACCCCATGGGAGACCAGGAGAAGCACCTGGCTCCTGGCTTCGGATCAGTGCAGTGCGCCGGCTGCAGCGCGCCAGCCATGGCAGCCATTGGAGGGTGAACCAACGGCAAAAGGAAGACCTTTCTCTCTGTCTCTCTCTCTCACTGTCCACTCTGCCTGTCAAAAAAAAAAAAAAAAAAAAAAAAAAAAAAAAGACTAAAAGAAGTCATGCCTTTATCATTTTAACTTACATTTTAAAGTATTTTTAATCTCCCTTTTTAAAAAATGTTTTCCTATACCAGGTTTCTTTGTTTTTTTTTTCACAAACGATTCTGTTATTTTCTATTTTAAGCTACCCTGTTGAACTTAAGACATTATTTACCTCTGAAAGATGCAACGCCAACTTCAGACCTGCATTTTTAGCTTCTAAAAGAGGTTCCAAGAAGTCTTCTGCTTGTCCTATCTTGAAGACAAAAATTAAAAATGAGCATGCATGAAAATTCTGGGCAAACAGGAATTGGATACTCTGTCCCAATCAACTAAGGAAAAAAATACTGGCAGATGAATTTATTTGCAGTTTCTGTTTATAAAGCACCTACAACGTGCTAGACACACTGGGGAATACTAAGCTGGCAAAGGCCCTGTCTCTGCACATGAGAAGTCTAGTATCCCTATCAGTGAATCTGAGGTCAATCAACTAAGTTGGATATAGTAGTCACCAAATTTTATTTCTCAAAGGATACCTAGATATATAGTGCTATAACTTTCCTGAAATGGACAGATGAAAAAAGCAGAATAGTCTAAGCTTAGACACAGCTATAAGAACTAGTTTCATGGGACTTTCTCAGGGTCAGCAGGTCAAGCCACTTTCTGTAGCACCGGCATCTCATGTGGGTGCTGGTTCGAGTCCCAGCTGCTCCACCTCCAATCCATCACCCTCCTAATGAGCCTGGAAAGGCAGCAGAGGATGGAACGAGTGCCTGGGAAACCCGGAAGAAGCTCCTGGCTCCTAGCTTTGGTCTGGCTCAGCCCTGGCCATTGCGGCCATTTAGGAAGTGAACCAGCGGACAGAAGATCTCTATCTTTACTTCTCTGTGTAACTCTGCCTTTCAAATAAGTAAAATAAATCTTAAAAAAAGAAAAAAAAAAAAAACAACCAAGTTTCATGGGACTCTCTTATTCAGTGGTTTGCAACCAGGGCAATCCTGCCCTCCAAAGAGGCATCTGGCAATGTCCAGAGAAATTCTTGATTGTCACAATCAGGATGTTGCTACTGATTGTCTAGCCAGGGATGCAGCCAGGCATACCACAGTGAACAGAGAAGCCCCCACAACAAAGAATTATCTGTCCCAAAATGTCAGCATGTCTGCTTGAATCTGACATTCACAAACCGCAGGCCAACCTTTCTTAACTGGGAGCTCTATGAGATAATTAAGCCCCAATGCCTTTAGACATCCATCCATCCATCCACTGTGAGTAATGAACTAACTTCTCTGTGTATACATATTGGTATTAGCCTGTACTAGCTCTAGAAGAATGGAGAAACTAGTCATAGAATCTAGCAAATTTTTTGTTTTTTAAGTGGTGCCTAATTATTTCACAGAACCCTGAGTGAGAACAGTTGCTGCAGACACTCCAGTCCTCCACTGCAGGATAGGGCTTCCTTCACGGTGCCTGCTGGACCCTCTGAAGAATGCAGGATGCTCCAAGATAATTCCTACGCCCACTAAACGTATTTCAGAAAAATAACTTACAGTAGGGTCTCCACTAAGGTCAAGGCCAAGAACTACATCCTCAGTAGAAAGGAAGAACTCCTCTGCAAGTTTAACAGTCTCCTTGGCAACTGAAGGGCCGCCTCTTCTGTCGATTGCTATCAAATACCTTTAATGTAAGAACAACAAAGTTGAAAACTAGTATAGTGGAGATAAAAAAAGACACCTCTGACTGTGGTCAGAGAAGCACAGCAGGCTGCATGTAACATAGTTTACTAGGAAAAGTAGAGCCTGTCTCAACCTAGACATGACATTTCACTCTGCCAGACAGAATGAGACTTGAATTCCCACAGAGAGTCAAGTGTCTAGTCAGTGCTTAAGATTCCAAGTGTCTCATTTTTTGTTCATGTGTTTGGTTTTTCTCACAGTTTGCTTGATTCAGGATCCAAATAAGGTCCACACTTTGTGTTAGTCAATGTGTCTCTTAAGTCTCTTTTAATCCATAGCCATGACTTCCTCCCTACTCTCCTCACTCCACCTCTTTTCTTGCAATTTATTTGCTGAAGAAATGAGGTTGTTTGTTGTACAGTTTTCCACAGTCTGGATTTTGTTGATTGTATGTCTGTGTTGTTGACATGTTATTAACATGTTTTTCCTTAAACTAATAGTTACAGCTAGTCCACATGCTTAATTGATTAAAAATTTTATTTTAAAATGTTAATCAATTAGTTTATATTGGAAAGGCAGAGAGACAGTGATCTTCCATCTGCTGGTTCACTTCCTGAATGCCTCCAACAGTCAGAGCTAGATCAGGTAAAGGCCAGGAGCCAGGAACTATATCCAGGTCTTCCAAGTGAGTGGCAAGGACCCAAGTACTTGAACCATTACTTGCTGCCTCCTGGGGTGAACATTAGGAAGCTACAATTGGGAACAGAGCCAGAATTCCAACTCAGGTTCTCTAATATAGGATTTGAGTGTTCCAAGTGGTGTTTTAACCTCTGTACCAAATGCTGACCCATATTTAATTTTTTTCAAAGTAAATAGGTGGTGGGGGCCAGCGCTGTGGCATAGCGGGTAAAGCTGCCACCTCCAGTACCCGTATCTCATATGGGTGCTGTTTCAAGTCCCAGCTGTTCCACTTCCAATCCAGCTCCCTGCTTATGTGGCTGGGAAAGCAGCAGAAGACAGCCAACGTGCTTGGGACCCTGCACCCACATGGAAGACCGGGCTGGGGCTCCTGGCTCCTCACTTTGGTCTGGCTCAGCCACGGCCATTGTGGCCATTTGGGGCGTGAACCAGCAGATGAAGACAATATAGCACTCATGTCTCATTTTAAAATTATCTGATTAATGAGGTTAATAGTTTTCTATACATTTATAAGTCATTTCTAGGTCTCTTTACTTTGTTTTTAATTGGGGTGTTAGTCTAGTTAAGTTTAATTTTTAGATTCTTACAGTCTGAATTATACAGCAAGTTTTCCTTCTTTCTTCATTCAAGGCCTTTCTGAGCACCTACTCTGTGCCAGCTTTGTTCTAAGTACTACAGAAACAGTAGTGAATCAAATGGCAAGGCCCCCGGCCTCCCTTAAATAACACTCTAGTGTGGGTATATACATGGGTACTTCAAAAAGTTTGTGGAAAAATGGAATTCAAAAAACAAGCTAGAGAGGGTGTTGTGGCATGGCAGGTTAAGCTGCACGTGGGATACCTGCATCCCATATTGAAATACCTGGAACCAACCAAATCCCACCTCCATCTTCTGATCCAGCTTTCTGTTAATGTGCCTATGAGGCACCAAGTGATGGTCCAAGTGCTTGGGCTCTTGCCACTCACATGGGAGATATGGATGGCTCCCAGCTTTGGCCTGGCCCTATCCACATTTAGGGAGTGAATAGGTGGACAGAAGAACTCATTCTCTCTCTGTCATTCTTTCAAATAAATAAAAATGAGTATATAAACAGTAAAAAAAATTTCATTACAAGATTTTTTATAATCTATGCAATTTTTTTTATAATTTCCCATGAATTTTCTGAAGATTCCATGTACATAAAAATAACAAGATGATTCTTTATGTTGCTGTCATAAATGAATGAATGTCATAAAAGAAATGACTCACTGGAAGATTTCAGTAGAGGGTTATACCTTTTTTTTTTTTTTTAATTTGAGAAGAAGAGACAGAGTTACCATCTGCTAGTTCACTGCCCAAATGACTATAATGGCCAGGGCTGAGTCAAAGTTGGAAGCCAGGAATGCAGTTCAGGTCTCCTATGTCGGTGGCAGGGACACAAGCACTTGATCTATCACCTGCTACCTCTCAGGGAGTGCACTAACAGGAAGCAAGAATTGGGAGCAGAGCAAGGTCTGGAACCCAAGCACTTTAGGCTTCAACACTGGGCCTAGAGGTGAGCACTTTATTTGTTTTCGTAAAAATTTACTGACTTATTTATTTGAAAGGCAGAGTGGCAGCAGCAGAGGCAGAGATAGGCAGAGAATGCCTGCCCTAAGGGGTGAATACTTTAGACAGAGGGCTCAAAGGGCCATCTGAGGAAATGATGGCTACATTGAGACTGGAATAAGGAATGAGAAGAAGCCAGCTGTGCAAGGATATGGTTGGTGGAAGTATGTTTTAGGTAAAAGTAACAGGAAGTACAATAATGCTGAGGTGGGATAGACTTGGTCTACTGTTGGAACAGAAAGCAAGGCAGTGTACAATAAATGAGGAGGAACAGTTAGATGAGCTGCTGAATAAAGGCAATCTGACAGAAGTCCATTTTAACTAACAAGAATGGAGAGCCATACTTTACTTGAGCAAAAGTATCCAGAATTATATTGCCATGGGAATAAATTCAGAACTGTATTCTTACTTTAAGCAACAGGACTCTTGCTTCTATTTTTTGTTTTTATTGCAGTCAGAAGTCAGGTAATTTTTTTTTTTTTTTTTGACAGGCAGAGTTAAGACAGTGAGAGAGAGAGACCGAGAGAAAGGCCTTTCTTCTGTTGGTTCACCCCCTAAATAACCGCTATGGCCGGCGTGCTGCACCAATCAGAAGCCAGGAGCCAGGTGCTTCCTTCTGGTCTCCCATGTGGGTGCAGGGCCTAAGCACTTGGGCCATCCTCCACTGCCTTCCCGGGCCACAGCAGAAAGCTGGACTGGAAGAGGAGCAACCGGGACAGAATCTGGCACCCCAACTGGGACTAGAACCCGGGGTACCAGCGCCGCAGGCAGAGGATTGACCTAGTGAGCCTCAGCGCTGGCTGTAATGGTTGATTTTTAAAAACCCATTACTTCTATAAACAAAACAATAAAATTTCACATTCTAGTTTTTAAAAGGTAACTACTAAGGTATAATCTTCTTACCTAACATCGATGTCTAAGTTTTCTTGTTTGGCCTGTTTTATACCCTCAAGTATGGATTCCACATAACTCTTTTTAGTCATTCCTGGAATGGACACATGGAAAACATATGTAAAGAAATCATCAACTATTTCATCCTCAACTTTAGCATCCCTGTATGAACAGGTACATTTTCATTTTATGTTGTGACAAGGGTGCAGTTAAAGATTAGTGAAAATGTGGTACTTTTTGGTACATTTTAGTAAGTAATCACTGTACTTTTAACAAAATTTAAAAAGTAAAAAAAAAAAGTACCAGGAAAATGAAGTGAAAAGAAAAGGATATATAAAATACAAACCTATTTAAAAATTGTTAGATTCAGTTAGCATGAAATTAATCTCACAAATTGCTATAACAATCTGAACTGCTCATTCTAACAAAACAACAACATGACCTTTTCTAACACTTGTCTTTAAAAAAGAAAGGAAGGAAGGAAGGAAAGGGAGGGAGGGAGGGGGAGGAGGAGAGGAAGTGGGGGAGGAAGAGAGGAAAGGAGGGAGGGAGGGAAGAACATTTTTCTCTATCAGCAGGATATTTTTTCTGCTGTTCCAGAAGCAAAATCCTAACTTGGGTCCTTTTCCTCTCAATCCGGCTCAGGCTCAGCATTTCTCATCAGGCCACAGAGATGTTCTTCCAAAGCTGAAGGCTTAAGTCCTCTTCTGGTGGGCTCTACAAGACTGTTCCCCAGAAAGGCATCCTTTAAGATGCCCTTACCTTGACTATTAAATGCTTTCTGTTAGTGAAGGATCTCTATCTAGTAAAATACAGAAAATTGTAAGGGAGAAAAAAAAAATCACCTGTGATCCCACCACCCAGAGATAATTAATGTGTCTGTGTAGATATACACATATACAGTTTTAAATAGGTTAGTCACTAGTAGGCATCCATGTACCTCAGTTAATCATTTAACATTGTACTCTGAGTACTTTCCTACATCATTCGAGTGTCTGCAAATATTTTCAATGGCTGCTTAATATTCCATTAAGTTTCATTTAGCCATTCTCCTACTGTTGCATACTGAGGGTAATATCCTCCCTTTCAGCGCCAGCATTGTGGTGCAGTGGATTAAGCTACCACTTGTGACATCACCATCCCACGTTAGAACAGTTTGAGTCCTGGCTGCTCTGCTTCCAATCAAGCTCCCTGTTCAAGCACCCAGGAAGGCAGTGGAAGAGGGCCCAAATGCTTGGGTCCTGCCAACCACGAGCAAGACCCACACGGAGTTTCTGGCTCCTAGCTTCAGCCTAACCTAGCACAGGCTGTTGTAGCCATTTCGGGAATGAATCAGTAGACTGAAGATCTCTTTCTCTGTGTCCTGTTTTAAATAAATAAAATAAATCTTTTTAAAAATCCTCCCTTTGAATCTCCATTAGAAGAGCAATCTCTACCAATCAGCAAGTTTTCTTTTTCCCTTTGCTACCCTTGCCAGCTTGGAACTGATTCTATAGTTTCAAAATGTGAGGTAAGAATCTCCCTCAAGGGGCCAGCACTATGGCATAGAAGGTTAGGCCTCCACTTGCAGTGCTGGCATCCCCTGTGGGCACTGGTTCAAGTCCCAGATGCTCCACTTCCAATCCAGCTCCCTGCTAACGTGTCTAGGAAAGTAGCGCAAGATGGCCCAAGTGCTTAGGCCCCTGCACCTACATGAGAAACCCGGAAGAAGTTCTGGCTCCTGGTTTTGACCTGCCCCAGCCACAGCTCAGCCCAGGCCATTGCAGCCATCTGAGAGCGAACCAGCAGATGCAAGATCTCTCTCTCTCTCTCTTTTTCTTCTAACTCTGCCTTTCAAATAAATAAATAAATCTTCAAAAAAAAAAAAAAAAGACACTTCCTTGCTATATCTTTTTTTTTTTTTTTTTTTTTTTTTGACAGGCAGAGTGGACAGTGAGAGAGAGAGACAGAGAGAAAGGTCTTCCTTTTGCCGTTGGTTCACCCTCCAATGGCTGCCGCGGCCGGCGCGCTACGGCCGGCGCACCGCGCTGATCCGATGGCAGGAGCCAGGAGCCAGGTGCTTTTCCTGGTCTCCCATGGGGTGCAGGGCCCAAGCACCTGGGCCATCCTCCACTGCACTCCCTGGCCACAGCAGAGGGCTGGCCTGGAAGAGGGGCAACCGGGACAGAATCCGGCACCCCGACCGGGACTAGAACCCGGTGTGCCGGCGCCGCTAGGCGGAGGATTAGCCTAGTGAGCCGCGGCGCCGGCCACCCTTGCTATATCTTAACATTTACTTCATTATAATAGTTCCAAAGAGTTTATCTCTAAATGACTGCAAGGTTACACACACCACAACACAGGTTACACACACGCAGCACAATGTTACACACACCTAAGTGTCTTTAGGTTTTAGACAAGTGCTAAGAGGGACCCAATGACATTACCTAATCTCTCCTGGCATTGCTGGAATGGAAATAGGGACGCAAAAATTCCCTCAGTCCACAAGACCCCTCACCTCAACTCAGGAAAGTTTTACCACATCACAGTGTATTCCTAGCCTAAGGAACTATCAGTCCTTGAACAGTGACTGGATAACCT